ACCGTTGGTGGAAGCCCATAAATTCCGTGTCAGTTGGGTGCCGTTAGTGTAACCACCCCAAGAAAGGCCCAGAGATTTTTACATAGTCATTGGGTGTGCAGCGCCAATGGTGGGGCTTAGAAAGTAGATTTTATACCCATGGCATTACATGGGGATAAGGAGCTAGCGAGGATTGAGCCTCATCTCATTTCATAGCATGGCATTGCTAAGATTCCAACATTGAATGATATATTCTTGTTTGAGATGTTGTTGGTTGTAAAGTGTTGCATGAACATTCATATGCACTTAGGTTGGGGAATAACCTTGGTAGGAAATACTCTACTAAGCGTGGCTCATCCTATACAAAAAAATATTTCAGATGCAGGATACATTCCGAAGGATGGCTCACATTCGGGGCCTCAAAGATGAAGAAAAGTCGACTTGTGGCTTTTGTGGCACATTTTGTGTAATTTTTGAAAAATTATGTTGTGAACATGTAACCTTATAAATGGATTGTAATAGAACTTGTACATATCGAATTTTATGTGATAAACGTCATTGTATATATTTTGAATGGATTGGAAATGAAAAATAGGTAAAATGGGCAAAAATGGGCAGAGAGTACCGGTACTGAGTACCGTTACAACAAGGCCAGTGACTTAATAGTATCGGTGTTGTGTACCGATATTGAGTACTGGTATTGCGTACCGGTACAACGAAGACCAGTGGGCAATGCGTATCGGTACTCTTTCCAAAAATTTTGGAATTTAAAAAAAAATTACTTTGCCAAGCTCTAGGACTATAGGTTCTTGGGTTCCAAGGTTATAAATGGACTATAGTGGAGTACAACTAGTGGTACATTGCTCCACGGTTGGATTAAATAATAAAATGAACACAGGTTTTACGTGTGCATTGAAATTCCCCGTAAAGGGGATGTTATTCACGGGTATTTTCGTGGATTGACGGATGGTCAATGATTAATAAACGACCCCCGGTGTAAAACCCGAGAAAAATTGAACTTTTAAAAAAAAAAGGGATAAAATGGTAATTTGACATTATAATGCGAATTAAAAACTGATATTTTTCTAGACCTTGGATGATTAAA